GTGTGTGGTGTGGGACAATGTGGTGTGAGGCAGTGTGATGTGGGGGTGTGTGGTGTGGGACAATGTGGTGTGAGGCAGTGTGATGTGGGGGTGTGGTGCGGGGCAGCGTGGTGTGGGGCAGCGTGGTGTGGGGCAGCATGGTATCGGGCAATGTGGTGTGAGGCAGCGTGGCGTGGGGCTACGGGTGGCATGGTATCGGGTGGCACGGTATCAAGCAGCATGGTATCAGGCAGCGTGGTGTCGGGCAGCATGGTGTGGGGCTACGGGTGGCATGGTATCGGGCAGCATGGTATCGGGCAGCGTGGTGTGGGGCTGCTGTCCTGCCCGTGGGGCTGCGGTTCCAGCTCCGCTTCCTTGCAGGCCCTGAAGTACTCCTTCCAGACCCACGACCGCCTCTGCTTCGTCATGGAGTACGCCAATGGGGGCGAGGTAGGGGCTGGGGCTGCGGGGGATGGGCCTCACGGCCTGTGGACCCAGCCCTGGCAGCTGGGCCGCCCATAGTGGGGCTGGTCCTTCCCGGAACCTCGGCTACTCTCCACAGCACCAGACGGTGCTCCCTGCTGGGTGGGTGGTATGACGCCTGCCCAGGCAGCTGCCTGCTGTGGGTGACTTGTTCCTGCTGAGTTAGGGCTTCTGAGACTTCCCAGGCCCCCGTGCCCTCTGGGGGCTGGTCCCTTCCCTGTGCCCAATGCCCTGAGCCCCTGCCTGAGAAACCCCAACCCTGCAGGCCGTGGGGGCGGAGGCCCCGGCCACGGCTGTGCCTCAGGTCGCGCTTCCCACAGCTCTTCTTCCACCTGTCCCGGGAGCGTGTGTTCTCTGAGGACCGGGCCCGCTTCTATGGCGCCGAGATCGTGTCAGCCCTGGACTACCTGCATTCGGAGAAGAATGTGGTGTACCGGGACCTCAAGGTGCGCCGGTGGGCACTCGGGGTGGGGGCAGGGCCCTGGGAGCCTGGCGGCACTGACCTGAGGCCACCTTTCCCCTAGCTGGAGAACCTCATGCTGGACAAGGACGGGCACATTAAGATCACAGACTTTGGGCTGTGCAAGGAGGGGATCAAGGACGGCGCCACCATGAAGACCTTCTGCGGCACACCTGAGTACCTGGCCCCCGAGGTGTGCGCCCCACCTGTGTGCATACGCGTCGCTGTGTCCCCACGTCCCGAGCACACGCAAAGCTGTGTCCTCTCTGTGCCCCAAGCACGTCACGACACCTCCCCCGGACACCCCCTGATGCCGAGTCCTGCCCATCTGCCGCCCGTGCAGGTGCTGGAGGACAATGACTACGGCCGTGCGGTGGACTGGTGGGGGCTGGGCGTGGTCATGTATGAGATGATGTGCGGCCGCCTGCCCTTCTACAACCAGGACCACGAGAAGCTTTTTGAGCTCATCCTCATGGAAGAGATCCGCTTCCCGCGCACGCTTGGTCCTGAGGCCAAGTCCTTGCTCTCAGGGCTGCTCAAGAAGGACCCCAAGCAGAGGTGAGGGCCACCCATCCCGGCTGCAGGCTATTCCTCCATCCCCTCACCCCCAGGCTGCACCTGCCCCTGTGCCAGGCGGTCCTGGCACCTCCCAGACTACACTGATAGCCAGAGCTTGATGTCCTTGGCCAGGGCTGATCCCCAAAGCCTCAGGCACAGGCAGAGTGGCTGGGTAGGGCAGGGTCAGTTGGGCCTCCATCCCCAACCCTGCAGCCCCCACACCCCCAACTCAGGAAGCCCCTGCCTGC